GGAGTCCCAGTAAGGGGCGTGCAGCCTGATGTTTCTCTCTTTTCCTCTCCCTTCATCTTTTCTCCCTAAAATCAGTAAAACACTAGAAATACAATAAAATAAAATTAGCCCAGCCAGCGTGGCTCAGTGATTGAGCGTCAACCTATGAACCAGGAGATCACGGTTCGATTTTCAGTCTGCGCATATGCCTGGGTTGTGGCCTCAATGCCCGAGGCAGCCGATCAATGATGCTCTCATAGATGTTTCTCTTCCTCTCCCTTCCTCTCTGAAATCAATTTTTTAAAAAATTAAAAAGTCAAATAGAAAACTAAACATAAGCTCCAAAAGAGCAGGGCCCTTGCCTAATTCATGGCTTTTTTCTTTAGCAGCTGGTTCAGTACCATGCTTGGCACATGGCAGGAATTCAACAAATACCTGTGAAATAAATGAATTTCTGATCTATGCAACCCCTCCATGAAGCGTTGCGGAGTCAAAGGATTGATTTGTCAGGCTTTAGTGAGCAATTGTCTTCACAAACCTCCCCATCTACCACAGATGTGCTATGCCAGGCCCACATGGTGTGTCAACTGGGTACTGAAGAGTCCAGCAAGACCACCTACTGAACAGAGGCCAAGGGGAGAGGAAATATTAAAATGCCAGAGCTAGAAAAGGCGTGGACTCTCCGAGACCCCCCACAGTACTAGGCCAAGCCAGTGCATGGGGATTGTCTCTACAGCTTGAGCTTCCTTTGTGTGGACATGAGAGGACTCCAGTGACCATAATGATGCGATGGTGGGTCCTGGTCAGGAATCACAAGGCATACTAAGCTCCCTGGAGGGTGGGTGTTCCGGGCAGGTCTCCTTCTCCTGGGACCGGCTCAGAGTGTGGGGGGCTGGGCGGGAACCAAGAGCCTCCGCTGGAGCTGGGATGAATGCTTCACCTTTCACTCTTGAGCTCCTGCTTCATCCAGCTCAAGGAAAAACTGGGACCAACCAGTTAGCAGATGAAACAGGTCCAAATACCGCTGCAGATGGTCCGGGAAGTTGCCACCCATCAGGAATGCACTCTGAGGTCCTGCTTGCCCCGTTGAAGGGAAGTTGCCACGCTAATGAAGTGCTGTGGTACTTGCTTCTCCTGCCTGGAGGCCACTGTGCACAGAGCCCACCGCCTGGCGCCCCACAGCCATGGGCCCAACCCTTTCAGTTCTTGAACTGGGTATGGGCTCACTCCACTTGCTGCCTAGGCCCTTCGACGCTCCCACCCAGAAATGATGACATGGCTAGGGAGGCTGTCAGTCTTGCTGTAATTGGGAGGAAACAGCTGCAGCTCCTTTGGCAGACTGAGTCACCAGCAGCCAAAGTTGGGGTTGTGCGGGCAGCTGAGGTGCTCAGGGCCCCTGCCTCACATAGTGAAGAGAGGAAGAAAGAGGTCAAATTTGAACCCAGATGGGAAAGTTGGTCCCGGGGGCAGTTTCGCTTCCTCTCCTCACTCTCAGGATGTGAGGAAGGGCATCATCTCCCCTTGCTGCCAAAGTTCCCTTTGGGAGAGGCTGGGAGGGTTTATGAAAATCTCCTAGTGGACACAACCTCCTCACTGGCCCCTAGGTGGCCACTGCTCCTTTCCAGCCACTTCACAGCAGTATCCAAATCCAGAACCCTGTGTTCAGGGCCTGAGGGTGGTGAGGGGAGGACAGGGTGGCTGGCCAGAGGCAAGGGGTGGGGACCAGGGGCAGTGGCCATTCTTAGCAGTTCCAGGAAAACAGGGCCTTTCTCCCAAGCACCCTGCACAGGCTCAGTGGCAGCACTGGCCACCTGCCCTCCCAGGTGGGTTGCAAACCCCCACGGAGTGCCTTCGGGTGGAGAAGGTTCAGGCAAGGAAGACCACAAAGATGATGAAGAAGACAATGAGGATGAGGAAGATTTTGACCATGAGCCACCGGTTGGAGGTAACTGACTGAAAGTACTTGAGGATCTCTGAATGGGCGCCCTCAACATCCAGCTGGGCTCCCATCACGTTCTCGTCAATCCTGGAGACAGGCAAGGAGGAGAGGAAACGGACACCGATTAGCAAGCATGCTCGGAGCACATTTAGTGACATGGAAAGATGGTCACAGTGCATAGGAGTAAAACATGCTCAAGCATGTCTTTCCCTTCCCGCCCTGTTCCCCAGGGGTTACCCTTGCCTTGCTCTCTCCTAAGCTCCAAGGGCCCTTCTGCCCCATGACTTGGCTCCTGAGCCTATGAGTCCAGCTGGCTCGCTTCTACTACCTCTGTAACTTTCCAAATAAACTTTCTCTTATAATTTGAAACGGAGTGTTTATATGCAATATGATCCCTTTGTGTGTGTGTGTGTAGAAAAAGCTCTGGAGTCTGACTGGCGTGGCTCAGTGGTTGAGCATCAACCTATGAACCAGGAGGTCATGGTTTGATTCCTGATCAGGGCACATGCCCAGGTGGGGCTGGATTCCTATTGGGAGGCACACAGTAGGCAGCTCAATGATTCTCTCTCATCACTGATGTT